GAAATTTCCACACCCACTTTTATCCTTTATCCACATTCGCTATTAGTGCCATAATTTTAACAATGTCAGGTAAGTGATATAACCCCATCATACATAAACAAAAGATGCAGGTATAGCAATAGAGCTGTTCTTGTAAAGAGGGAATCGATCATACCAGCCTGAGACCTTATACATGGGAGCAACAGTATCCTCATGAATAACTCTTCCTTAAAAATTGCTGCAAAAATCTGATTTTTTCTTTGCTCTTTACTCCAAAAGAGCATTGAGGATAGGATTATTAAACTTGTTTTCTTGTAAAACTATTAGAAAACTTCCTATGTTTGCATCTATGCTCTATCTTAATATCAACAACCTGATAATAGTAGCAAAATTATTAATTATTGAGGCTGTGTATCATGTAGCCAGAGAATAAAGTCTTTCTTTTTTCTTTGTTTTTTTTTTGGACAAAATTTTCAGAGTTATAGAATTAGGGTTAGCTTAAAAAAACTCATTGCCTTCTTTCAGGTTTGAAAAACTTTCTATGTCTTCTAAGTCAGATTCATAGTATGTGAACTAAGGTCTCCACAAGAGGAAAATATACAAGCATTTTTCAGCTGTCATGAGTCTGTTTTAAAAGCGTATCTTACACTCTTCCATTGGGAACTGTAGAAAAAGACAGTCCACTTCTTATTTTTTTGTAAAGTATTATTGTTTGTCAGAAAAAAAAAGACAGACTTGGCATAACATAGCTGAATGATCTTGGAAATAAAACTGATGGTCAAATTCCTGAAAGATTTCCCACATGTTTTTTTGCATAACATCAGTGGAGAGTTTGGGTCAAATTAATAACTTAGTTATACTAGCAATTAATATAAGTCACACTTTCTTGTAAAATTGGCAGCTCTTTCAGTCAAAGAAAAGAAAAAGAAACTAACCAATCCTTTAAAATTTTCCTAAAGCAAAAAAGTCAGAAGAAAAAAACTGTAAAACTTTCCACAGAACTGAAAAAGCTTTAAGAATATACATGTGCCAAGTTCATTGAAACTTAATTTTTATTTCTCTAAGAATCAGTTTTTTAGCCACATTTTGTAGCACCAGGAGGACATCAAGTGGCTACTCAAGCTAATTGCTCCACATTTTCTGTAAACAGTCTTTATGATGTCTCCTTAGTAACCTACTCTAAGCAAAAACAATTAGGTATTTTACCAACCACTGTCTGTTTTAAACTCAGCTTTTGCATAAAACTTCAAATCATCCATGCTTCCTCAAACCTCTCTTTAGACAAAATAAGCCTAGATACCTGCCAACTTATGAAAGAAATATCTTTTTCATCTACTATCCCTCATTCAAGAAATCACTTACTCATTCCTTTGGATTTAACTGGCTTATTGAACTTTGTAATAACTGGAATAATTAGGCTTAGCTGGTCAGACCTTTACTAGGGGGAGAGAAAAATTCATCTAAAACAAACATCCTTTGAAGTGTAGGTGTGTAAAACTAATTATTAACAGTTGAAAGAAATTTCATAGTTTAATATTATAGACAAGTAACAGCTGTGGCTTGTGTGATAGAACTTAATCAGGAATTTGAGTTTATATTAACGTTAAAAAGATATGATAACCAGTTTAGAACTAGTTAATGGAAAAATATTTCAAGCACCTTTTGTCTTTATTAATAATATAATTCACTGCAGTTTGTATTTCTCAAAATTTTATAGAAATAATATTCCTATTCCAAAAAGTGTTCACCTTCAAACAGTAGAGATTACAATCCAAAACTGAATTTGAGGACACCTGACTAGCTAAGACTATTTGTAAGATAAACTCTTTCCAACATGAAGAACATGGTTCTACAAGTTTACATTTCCTTCCTAGCTGTTATGCAGAACTTTAAAAAAAATTCTCAAGAAAAAAAAATTATTCCATAAATATAAAAGATAAGAACACCTTTCTATGGATCTGTGTCCTTGACTCCCCACCCTTCCCCACTAAGCTTTCCTCATCACAAGGGCCCTACCTTCATACCAAACCATTATTCCACATATTCACTCTAATACTTTTCTTATTCAGGGGAAAGCACATGCTGTGCCTCATCCAGAAATAGATGTGCATGCAATTGGTTATCAATATACATATGTTTATTTGCCGGGTAGATGCATAACAGGTGCATTCTGCCTGCCTTACCCTTAATGGGGCATTATCTCTTCTCCACCCAAATGCCTATTTTCACAGATCTCATAGGAATTTAAGTATCTTTCAAATTTGCTTGAAAGTGACTATAGTTTCATTATGGGGACAACGACCAGATGGAGAGAAAGAAAAGACACAAAATCATCATGCAAACCTTGTTTCCTGTAGGAGCTGCTCAAAACAAACAAACAAACAAACTCTCATTAAGTATTATCATAGATAGACAATAATTTTCTAGGCTTTTGAAGTTAAAAAAGAAAAAAAAGAACAATAGCAAAAAAACAACAAAACCCGGATATTTAAAACCAGCCTCTGGATAGTTGGCATGATCATGAGTAACATCCACAGACCTCTTTGTTTCCATTCTTTCGCTTGTTCCCCCAATGTCCTATATAAATTAATTCAATGCTGAAGTCATCCATATTTCTTTTGTTCTTCCCTTTCCCCTCCAGTCTAAATGTCCTTTGAAAGATTAACCACTCAGAAGGTGCCTTGTAAAATATACCTACAGGAGTTTTTTCTGAACTCTGCCTTAGCAGCAGATTCTACTCTGCTTGCATGTCAACTAGTATGTTCATTCAAATACTCAAATGACATGAATCTGTCTAGTTCTGCCGAAAGTTCCCCTAAGTTATGTTGTCACGTTTATTTAAAAGCGCTGATTGACTCTAGAAGGATGTTTTATCAGCTATGAAGCCCACAGTAAGCAGATCTGTGCTAACTCCTAGAGAAGCTTGGTAACGCCTTAAGGAGGCTACCCGTCTACAAGAACTAGGCTGCCCTTCAAAGTCTGATGATCACACAAACTCCCTCAGGGACTTTTCTAGCAAGACAGGCACCTTGTCTTGTTTGAGCTTTGGGGTTTCACAGCTGAACTTGATGAGGAACGACAACTCCTAGTCATGGCAGGACTCTGGAACTAATAAACTTCTTCTAAACGACAGACATGAAACCCGTTGCATTTAATCTGCGAAATTAATACTACTGGCTATATATACACATTTAAAATAATATTTGTTCTCTAAAGATCTGTGAAGTTTTTGCTCTAGTAGCTTGTTCATATTGAAAGCAATATTAGAACAGTATTAATACTAGAAGTTTGGGCATTATCAGGGTTAATTTAACCTTTGTTACAGTACTAGCAACTCGGTAATAATTAATGACAAATAAATGCTTGGTTCTATTTTTGTTGATGTTCACAGAAAAAATGCATGAGTGTTAACAGGAATAGATTTCTGATCCTAACATTTTTAATACTTTATTTTTGAATTTAAAAAATACTTCCTTTAAATAAAACACTGTAAAATCAAGCATCTATAAATAAAGTTCAGTCCATTATTCCTTTGAAGATTTCAAACTATTGCTAGCAGCTTAGTCTGACAAGGAGCTGGGCATGTATTTAGCTGAAATAGTTCACCTGGCTTTTTCTAGAGGTATTCCCTTCTTTCCATGTCCAGCTGTGGTAGCTCTAACAATTAATTTGCTTTCATCACTGCCAGAGCAAAAGGATATTCACTCATAACTTATTTACTTTTACTTGTTCAGAATAGCTTTGGCCTTTCACTTTTAGGACAAACTGGAGAGTGAACTGCAAGCTTCAGGGGTATATTTGATACATGACGCATAGATGAGAAATCAGCCTCTATTTCAGTCACAGACTGAAAATAAAGAATACAGAATTAAGTGCTAACCAAACCAAATGTCATCATGAAGGCACTGGCCATAGCATACAGCTGGATGTAGCACGCATCCAAAGCAGTTTGTACCCATTTACTTCGAGTGGTATTTGGTAAATAGCTACAACCATGAAATAATCACATCACAAAACCTACAAAATAAAGACACTTTCACATTTAAAAGCTGCTGGACCAAGAAACATCCTGCATTAGCAGTTCCATTCTAGATTTTGTAAATAATAAAGAACTGCAGAGGCCACATTTCAATATACCCCTTCTCTTAGTTACTACTTTTACTTAGTATTCCTTAGTATTTACTTAGTAATCCTAATATTAAACCATATGTTATGAACACCAACACCGTATTATCCTCCTTGAAATCACATACTCAGATATACATTTTCATAAAGTATTTCAGTGATTGCACAATTAATAGTGATTACTTCTTGGCATTTAACCATCTCAAACTTATCAGCTAAAACAGGCCCTGAATCTTTTTCTCCTGTATCAGCATTACCAGCCTCAAAATCTGTATTGTGCCTCTTTTCCAAAACTTGAACATGACTTGAAATCAATTAAATTATAAAAAAATGCACATCTTATCCTCTTTTGCCCTTTTTAAAATGTGTATATGATTTTATCCACTATCAACAATATGTGCTTCTTCAAAAAAAAAATCCCAAGGACAAGTAAAGCAAAAAATAAATAAATAAATAAATAAATAATCCAAATCCTCTGTGCCTTTAAGAAGTTGTAACTTTAAGAAAAAGAAGGCTAGGGAAACTACAAGCCTTGCACTCATCTGACTAGCAGACTGTGGGTCTGTTCAGCAGACTCTGTTCAGCAATGAGCATCACCATTCATAAAAGGATACAGAATATTTTATTCACATTGTGTCTTCTACTGCAGTACATGAAGTGCAAGTGTCTGCTTCTGTTTAGAAAAGGAGACTAACATTCCACAGAATCCCAGGAAGTTTTGGCTGGAAACAATTAAAAATAAATGTCTGATCCTCCAGCAATGTATTTTTAAGATACTAAAGGAGTCCATCCACACGTGGGCGCTTATGAAAACTAAAGTGAACTAGCTGAAGCTATGCAGTTATGTAGCCTAAGCTTTCAGCAAATGTTGACTATTTATTGCCTTCTGTCATATCATGGTGCACATAAATGCGTTAATAGTTGTAAAGACTAGCAAAAAGGTAGGTTTAATATTTTGCACTTCATGGGAAAACAATCAGACAAAAATCACCTCTTTTTGCCGCAAAGGGTTCAATTTTGTGTTCCTTTACATTTCATTGTAATAATTCACATCTGTTCAAAGGGTGTGCAGTGTGTTACCAAAATGGACTGGTTTCATTTAACACCTAATTTCACTCTGCATAAGTGCAAATGAATATACAAGGTGCAAGCCAGTAGAGAATTAGGATTTAAGGAAGAATTTACATCTTATATTAAAACTTTGTAGTATAATTGTCATAGAATATAAATTAGTCTACGGCAGTTCCTAAGATTACAACTAAGTACAGCTTGAAGACGCTTGAAACTCTTTTTGAACCACCGTTTGGAATTTTGACCATTTTTGTTTATCTGTGTTTTCAGTTTGTGACTTTTCAAAGTGACTGGGTCCAGCAGAATCCTCTGGAGGAAGAGGTGAGAAGTTCTCTACTCTAGAATTCAACACCCTATCAAGATGAAATATCCCAGGTCTACCAGCCTTTTGCAAAGTTCATTGCTTCAGCTTTTTTTTTTTTCCTGAGCAATGCAAAAAAACTATAATCAAAGGATGTAAAAAGGAACGGTCTGAATATGAAAATTTTCTCTGACTGTACGCTAGATACTGGGTTTGTTTATTATATTAAGTTCAAAAGTCAAAGTTAATACTGAAAACATTGTTATGTTTCCCTTTTTTTAATTAACACAAGTGATCTCCAGCATAAAGACAACAAAAGATGCTACAAAAAGGAAAGAAATAATTTGTTCTGTCCTATTGGATAGACAAAGACAGTGATTTTCAATTCCTCTATGAAAGAAGTCTGAGTAGACAGTAGGAAATAACTTTCTAATTTTAAGGTTAGTTAAGGACTGGTGCAAATCAGAAATATAACAGCCTTCCCAGGGAAAGCATTCAAGCACAAATTAACAACTTTGCTAGGGGTGACACCACCATAGAGACTAGGGTAGGGAAATAGGCTAAAAGAGATTGCAGCCCTAATTTTTCCTGAAATTCTGGTCAGATAATAAACATTTTGCAGGAAAAAAGAAAACTCACAGAAGCCAGATTGCTAAATCCATGTAATTTTGGCTATCCTATCCTCAGACATACTGTGAATTGTCTTTATTACCTTAAAGACTAAGCATATGGCATTTCATAGGGTAAGCAAAATGGGATGGATTTTGAGCAATCTTTGCATGGGTATGTCGATACAAATGACATGCAAACACTGTGCAAACAGCATGCAACAGCGATACTTTTCACTCATATGAACACCTCTGGACAGAGCTGCTCACTTCCTCCACTTTCCTGGCAAAACAAAACAAAAAAAACAAACAAACAAGAACGATCATGATATCTCTCCCTCTCTCTCCCTCTATTGTTTTAATTAAGTTTGCCTTAATCATAACAGAAAGAAGAGCAAAAGCCTTCCCTACCACCTTTTTTTTTTTCTTATTTTTAAAGCAAACCAACCTGGGAGTCTGCTGAGCTGGCAGATTTTCCTGAGCTCTCACAGTTTTAATTTTAGCATCACAAAGCTAATCAAGTTGCAGTATGAATATCTGTGAAATGTTCCTTCCTGCTGCTAGTTTCAGTGCTAGTAATTACTTACTGTTTTTAGGTGGAGGGTGAGGGAAGTGATATCTTGTCTGTGTAGAGCCTTCTTGTCTAAACTTGGCGGGATGCCTTTTTACTATTAAATGTCCACTCAAAGGCTTGCACTGCTGCACTTTCATTTTTCTTAAAGTCACTATGTTCATACGAAAGCAGGTTCACTGGCTGAGTTCAGCTCTCTTCCAAGAAGTTCAGTTAGGATCTGGGAATGTACATAAAGCAGACACCTAACACTAGAAGTATTTAAAAATGATTACTTTCATTTTCTGAAGATACTACAGTAAGCAACAAAACTTTGTACACTATACTATTAACTTGATATATGCTTAAGGGAGCAAAATCCAGTGAAACTTTCTTCTGAGTCACAAATATTGCAGTGTTTGAATGGGACGGCTACTCAGATGGTCCAAATGAATGGATTCCTCTACAGGAAGAACCTTAAGCATTATTGCCAGCAAGTGTATGTTCTTTGACTTTCTTGTCTATAATGATTTTTAAATATAGGAATAAAACATAGAAGACCTATTTGATTAAATTATGGAATTCTCAAAATGAGAACTGACTTGATGAACGTAAACAAAAGATATTAATTAAGATCATGCAGAAGAAGAGAGAAGGAAGTTCAAACTCAATAATCATGGAAAGCACACAATGGGCTTGGGGGGAAGTGGTAAGTGCTATTTTCAAGTTAAACAGCTCCCTGAAACAGTTTCCCAAGCCACTGGATGAATATCAATGCCAAAGCAAAGAAGGCATAGATTTAGATTGGCTTAAACGTGTAGCAGTAGAGTTATTACATTCTACATCTGCATCTTTACTTCAGTGAAATTCTCTTTATGTTCATTCAGCTAGAACAAACTGAAGATTAATTTGCAAACTGAAGTTCCAAATTTAGGATTCTGTTCAGAAAATTTGAAAAGCTGCTCCATGAAATTATCTGTCTTTTCCGTAATAAGACATAAGCAGAACACAGTGGGCATTCTCTAGTGCTCCATATCCTGTCAAGTGTAGCCCTAAGACAGTTCTGCTTAGGAATTTCTTGTCAATTGATCAACAAAAATCAACTCCCTCCATGTAATAGCTCCACATCTTCCTTTTGTTAGCTGTTTCTTTGCTTTAAATGCAACACAGAAGCTACAAGAATGACAAAAACAACAGGTAGCAAGCATCCAAGATGGAGGAGGTAAAGTTGAAAAGAGCATGCTGCTGCCATAGGGTGGACATCTGGTATTAAGTGTAAACTCAGAAAAAAGGCCAACAGCACAGATTAAAACTTACAGCTATGAAACAATATAAAACACAGATGCACTCATTTTGATAAAGCTTTTTTTTCCCTCATTAAGTTTGCTTAATATGATCATATTACGTTTTAACTAATTGAGCTTCTTATCTCCTCAAAGCTTGGTATATAATTGTGCTGGTATACGAGAGATTGGTCTTTGAGGTTCTTGGTCTTAAAAAAATTTCTTTTGAATGAAAAAGTCAGTGTCATAGGTCTCACAACATAGATCTATGGTATTTCAAGGAAAATGGAGTCGAAGAACTCTTATCAACAAGAGCAGCATCTAAATACTAACATCATCTCTTCAAAGTGTAACTCCATGACAGACAACCACATGCGGAAATCTGTGGAAATAATACTTTGTTTTAACTTCTGCCTTTCCATCAGCTGCTACTGGAGAGGATGGAAAAGTATTGGTACAAATCTAGAATATTTTTACTTTTTCCGTGCTCTGAGGCTTAGAATCAGTTGGTTTACCTTTTGCTTTTTTTTTCCCCCACTTTCAAAATTTGTTGAAGCAAAGAACAGCAGTAGAACTATACGTTTAACCATAACGTGAACCATAACGTGAAATTTAGTTTAACGTCAGTAGGGCATTTTCCAGTAGAACTAGTGTATTGCTGACTTTTTTACACGAGTATCTCTCTCAGCTCCATGTATCCTGTTAATTGTGCCACGGAACACTGTCAGAGAAAATCCCAGAGTTTGTCTTTGTTTATTCTAGATTGGCTTGGAACTGAATCTCAGCCCTGTCCTGTTTGGCTGTTATGACAGCTGCTTACTGATTTGCTTCTGTTCAGTCACTGGAAATAGCAAAAGAGTCTCCTCTTAAGTCCAAGGGCTGATTAACATTCTTTCCTCCCTCTTGTGCACACACACATACATGCTGTGCATAACACCTGAGACCTGGTAAGAAAGTATGCAACTTCAGTGTTAATTCATTGTGAATAATACAAAAAGGAAGATGTTGCCTTTGGCTGAGCTCATGTAAGATCTATCCTATGAAAAACTGCTAATGAAGAGATGAAATGAAGAAATGAAGAGTTTGCTCTAAAAATTCTCCAACCCTGTAGGTTATGAAAGCAAAAGCTTGTTATAAATCAGGAGGCTAATTTAGATTTAGTATCTTCTTGGGCTCCTTAGAACAGCTGAAATCTAGATTTTTTTCCCCATTCCAAATAAAGATGTATAGTTTTTTCGTCTTTCTTATACAGGTGATACCATCTCCTTTCATCGGAAGAAAAATGAGCATAGTGAACTGAGTAGGGAAGATAAAGAAAGCTTTTCTAGTGAGAATGAAGAAAGAGCAGAAGCGATCACAGAACATTAGAAAAGAGACCCAGAATGAGCATGGGACAGCATTTAACCTACTGAAAACTGGAAACAAATAAGAAAACTAAGCTTGGCAAAGTTTTAAAAATATTACATTTAGGCTCCAATAGCTGTTGGAGCTAGATTACATATCCTAGTTTAGGTTGTCATCTATTATTCAGCTTATTGCCATAGTGTGGCAGCGTGCCTTTTTTCTCACCTTGCTTCCTTCTGTTTGTGAACTCTGACATATGCAATAGTAGGGGAAACGAGACATTGGTTATAAACCTGCATCTGGCTGGTTTGCATACGATCATAGGATAATTTAGGTTGGAAAGCACCTCAAGAGGTCTGTAGTCCAACCTCCTGTTCAAAGCAGTGTCAGCTATGAGATCAGATTAGGTTACTCAGGACTTTATCCAGTTGGGTCTTGAAAATCTCCAAAGATGGAGGCTGCACAACCTCACAATGCTTGATGGTCCTCAGGGTGAAAATTCTTTCTTTATATCCAGTCAGAGCTTCTCTTGTTTCAACTGAGTCCATTATCTGTCATCCTCCTATGTGAAGGGCCTAGGTCCATCTTGTAGGCACTGGAAAGCTACTATTAAGTCCTCGTAAAGCCTTCTCTTCACCAGGCTGAACACGCCCAGTTCCCTCAGCTTCTCCTAGTAAGACATGAGCTCAAGCCTCCTGAGCATCTTGGTCACCCTCTGCTGAACTTGTTCATTTATTGGTGTCTTTCTTGCACTGGAGCAGGGCCAAACTGGAAATAGTATTCTTGAGGTGGCCTACTAAGTGCTGGACAGAGGGGGATAATCACTTCCTTTGTGCTACTGGCTAGGCTTCTGCAGCTACATGCAGCTGATGGCACTTCTATCCTAGGGGGACTCTGCTAGAAAGCTGTGGACAAATTATCTCCTCCTTTTCCAGTGGCACAAAGAAGCTATATGGCATATTTGTAATTGTTTTACCTTTAACAGTAGTGACTATGCACAGCTATTAATTAATACTAGCTTATCTTACACTAAGCTTAAAGAATACTAGCTTATCTTAACTACACTTGCTGTTTAATCAGCTAATGAGTTCAGATTACCCTCTTCATTTCATAATTCCAGTGTTTATCTCCTCCATGCCATCAAAACTGTTTCTTGTCCTAGCATCAAAACTTTCTTGTCCTAGCATTATTTGAATCCTACAAACTGGCACTATTTCAGATGTTTTAACTTCCTT